GCTTTTCCACCTCTTAATGGGCAATAGGGAATGGAGATGATTTAGCTGTGAGACTGCTCACAACAGGCCAGTTAATCCTGATGTAGGAATTATTTTTTTTTGAGGTGTTCAGCTTAAAATAAGCTACTGTTTGAAGTAAATAAAAGCATCAAACATCACCAAGCGGCACAGAAAATGGGAAAATTTGGGGTTGTAAATAGTTGCTGTCATGAATTCAAATGAATTTACAGCCTTGCCATAGGAGTCAGTCTTCCATATTGAGAACTCTTACACTCCTATCTGGTTTCTGAAATGGCAGCATAGTAGATCTCCTTTCTGAAGCTGCTTCTGTTTAATGGATATGTTGCTATGTTTCAGGAAAGAAAAAAAAACTTTCTATGGGTTTGTTCCAAACTAAGCTCTGTTCTGTTTCTTATGCTTTTCAGCTGTGATATGTCCTGCCTTAGAAATGCCTGCTCATGGTGCTGTGAACTGCTCCCATCCCTTTGTGGAGCTCACCTGGGGTACCACCTGTGATGGGGGGAAGTGTTTCCCCGGGCAGGCCCAGCCACACTGCAGTGTGGGTCTTCTGGGGCCTGGGACAGGCAGCAACCATCCTGTGCAGGTACCTTTCCTTATCCCTGCTTACCTGAGCACTTGGAGTTGTCAGCATTGGTGTGTTGAATTCCTGAGGCATCTGTGCTGATTGCTGTTCTGATCTGTGCGTTGCAGCTGTGAGGTGTGAGGCTGTAACCTGGCCAGAAGAAGGCTTTGTGACCTGTGACCACGCTCCTGCAGATCTCACCTATGGGTCACGTTGTGATTTCCGCTGCAGCGAGGGCTATGTTCTGGATGGCCCATCCAGCATTGAGTGCATGGGTCAGGGACAGTGGTCAAACCCAGTGCCAAAATGCAAAGGTAAGATTTAATGGGTTGGAAATCATCAATTTAAGCTTAGAGTAGCTCAGCTAGTCTGAAGAGACTTCCTTGTTCAAGTGTGGTCAAGGAGTAACAGTCATCTCCAGCGTATTTATAGCACTTTTCATAAGACGACCTCAAGATGGTGATCATTTAGCCTGTTGTATTAAAGAGAAAACAGCAGTGCAGGATGACAAGCAACACTCAGGAACTGTGTCCCCAACACACGTGATAACAGGTTTTTGAAGTGGAGTGTTCTGACAAACTCTTTATTCCCTACATTCCAAATGGGAGCCAGTATCTATTTATGTAGTCCACTTGTGGAGTATAATCTGGAGCCAGTCTCAGGATAGCTTGCATGTTTCAGGTGCATGTTTAAGGGTTTTGGTTGTATTGTTCAACATGCTAAAATCCCTGTTTCCTGAGGCACTGCTAGGTCTGAAGGGAAGTACTATGGCTCTGTAGGGCACAGCTCTGGGCAGGGCATGTTCTCTTGTCAGCTCAAAGAGAAGTGTTTATCTTGACCTTCGCAAAACTAAGCTCTGTTCTGTTTCTTATGCTTTTCAGCTGTGACATGTCCTGCCTTAGAAATGCCTGCTCATGGTGCTGTGAACTGCTCCCATCCCTTTGTGGAGCTCACCTGGGGTACCACCTGTGAGTTCACTTGTGAGGAAGGATTTGCCCTGACAGGACCAGCCACACTGCAGTGTGGGTCTTCTGGGGCCTGGGACAGGCAGCAACCATCCTGTGCAGGTACCTTTCCTTATCCCTGCTTACCTGAGCACTTGGAGTTGTCAGCATTGGTGTGTTGAATTCCTGAGGCATCTGTGCTGATTGCTGTTCTGTGTGTTGCAGCTGTGAGGTGTGAGGCTGTAACCTGGCCAGAAGAAGGCTTTGTGACCTGTGACCACGCTCCTGCAGATCTCACCTATGGTTCACGTTGTGATTTCCGCTGCAGCGAGGGCTATGTTCTGGATGGCCCATCCAGCATTGAGTGCATGGGTCAGGGACAGTGGTCAAACCCAGTGCCAAAATGCAAAGGTAAGATTTAATGGGTTGGAAAACAAAGTTTTCTTGTCACTGGACAGCACATTGAAATCCATATTCCTATAGGGTCCTGGTTCTAGACTAAACTCTGCCTCTCATGTTTTCAGCTGTGACTTGCCCTGCCTTAAAAATGCCTGCTCATGGATCTGTGAACTGCTCCCATCCCAAAGTCAAATTAATTTGAAAATACAATGTACATCTACTAGTGCAAAGAATAGGGCTGAAGACAGGAAAGTCCTTAATGACTCTTAACCGTTTCTTTCTGTATTTCAGTTGTACAGTGTGAACCACTAATTTCTCCTGAGAAAGGCTATATGGATTGCTCACATGGTGCTGGGAACTTCACATACAACACAGCCTGCCACTTCAGCTGTCTAGAAGGATGGAGGCTGAATGGTTCTCATGTTCTTGAGTGCAGTCATTTGGGAAACTGGAGTGCTAGTCTGCCCACATGTGAAGGTATTTGACCTGTGACTAGCCAGAGAGGTGGCACTGGGTTTCTAGTCAAAAGAGGTGTGGGAGGGTGGAGGAGGTAACACTAAACAGCGAGCTAGAACTTCTAGTCCATGAATTAAAAAGTCCAACAAAATCTCTCAGTATGTTTTTTTTTTTTAAAAAAAAGGAAATTCCTAATAGGTCTTGGTGAAAACTGTTTATTTCTTATCCAAAACAAAAATCTGCAACCTAATTTCTGGTTGGTTTGTTTGGTTTTTAATTAAAATATTTCTCATGTTGAGCTTTATCCATATGAATAAAGAAAAAAGCATTTCTAAAGAAACAGAACCTTGTGGGGAAATCTGCATTCATAAGTCTGTTTCTCAGTGGAAAAGCTTATCGATTTCTTAATTGGGTGTGATAGTTTCTTGGGTGAACTCCTCAGCCAAAAGACCTCACAGAGCTTTTCTGTCAAAGGCTGTAATTTTACAGGACAGCAGTCTCAGGCTTGCCTTCCCATTCAAGGCAGTAAAGAGCTTTGTCCTTGTCCTCAGTAGGAACATACTTGGCCTGCCTCAAATGCTTTTGCCTGTGGTCCTAAAAGCTCAACTCCACTTTATTTGCTTGAGCAGAATTTAGATCCTTGAGTCATTTCATTGATCTCAACAGGATTGCTCAAAGAGGAAGACAGCACAGTGGGAATTAAAATGTGAACTGAAACATGAAAAATAGAAGATGAGCATAAATTGCCATGGGAGGCTGGAGGTTAGATAGACCCTGGTATAGTTAGCTTGTTGCCTTGCTATTGCTTTGGCAACGGGTGGGATAATTTTTAGTATGCAGCTTTTTACCTTGTGTACAGGATATGTCCTGTCTCAGCAAGAGAAAACTTAAGGGTTACAAGCTGTAGTTCTGGTTCCTCTTGAAGAGCACAAGGAATAGGAAGAAGTAGAGAGGGCTTCAAAGACCTCACATGCCTCTTGATCTCACTGAAACTTTTTCATCCTTTCAGCTTCTGAAGAAGCCAGCTATGTCTCTGTGGGCATAGCAGCCACAAGTGCCTCTCTGTTGTCCACAGCGTCATTCCTCCTTTGGCTTGCAAGACGTTTCCGAAGAAAAGGTGAGCAACTGCACTGGGTCCACTGGTTTTATTTACCTTCCTGAAAAATTTTTAGTGGAGAAAAAAAATCATCTCCAAACCCCTATACCTTGCTTTTTGAAAAAGCGAAAATTCCCATACTTAAGCAAATTCCAAAATTATTTTCAAGAAGTATGCATAAATGCCACGTCTGGCTTTTGGATGAACATTTAAAAATCAAAAATAGTAAAACCCAAGTATTTGGAGAAGAAAAAAGCAACATTCTATTTATCAGTAATTATTGCCAGGGAAAGTGAATGGGAATTTGAGATGGGGCTAATGACAACACAGTAATAACTGCCTGTGATATTTGTTGCTACATAATGACTTTTTACCAGATAGTCATAAATAAGGTTTTTTTAGTAGAAGAAAAAGCTTGCATGATGGGACTTTCATCTTGAAATGCTAATACCTTTTCTTATTCTTCTTGCAGCAAAGAAATTTACTCCTTCCAGGTAAGTTGTGTCTCAAAAAGCAGTATGAAAAACACTGCAATCGCTTTGCTAAAATCCATGTGATACAAACCTGTTGTCATTAAAGTACTTTTCATTTCTTTTTTTTGTAGTAGCTGCCAGAGCCTAACTGTCGAGGGTAGCTTCCAAAGTGCTGGCCAGAATGTCTAGCTCCAGGTGTTTCAGGTAAGTACATGAGATGACTGCACTCACAAATTCTCTTCCTTTTAATCACACAAGCAATCAGAGCTGTTAATTGCTATACAGCTGCTGAAATAGCAATATGTGTTTTGGGGTACCCAATATACATCTCAGCATTGCATGAAAGTTCCTAAGAAGACTGATGGATTTATTGCTTTAGAAAAGGTTATTCAGGTCCTTAAGGATGTTTAGCATTCTGTCCAGCTGCATATAGTATTAGGAACACTTTTTTGCATTTTTGCTTACTGCTGCATACAAAATACCTCTGAAATGAGAGGAAATAAAAATTTATAGAGGAATTTTTTTCTCTTCAGGAATTGAAGTCATCTTATGTCTCGGATATCTGAAGAATGAAACTGCATGCAAATCAGCAGCTGTCCAGATGTGTTTACCTCTTGCTGACAGGATGATTGACCTTGTGTATTGTTCAGAAATTTTGAACTCAAGCTGTCTGGTATTTCCACTGAAGGCAAGCAGAGAGTAAAACTCTGGCCTTCTGGCAAAATACGGTCTACATTCAGTCATGTAGTTATCATAACTGGGAGCTTGCCATCTCTTGTCCAGATGGTGAGCAAATAGTAAGCTGCTGCCTAAAGAGGAGGCTGGTTTCTCCTCTGGTCTACTCAAAGGTACCTAGGTGAGGTGAAGACATGCATTATTTCACATCACTTACTACACTGCTGGAGACATCGTCTCTGGAGACATATGGGTTATACCTGCAGAAACAGTGTAATCAGGATGAAAAAAATATTCATTTAATAGTCTTGAAACCATTGATCTGGTTTATTGTTTAAGTCAGTTTATTTTAAGAGGATGTCCCTGTCAATAAATGTGCCTGTGGTGATACAGGCAGTTATTTGGTGTTTCTGCTGCATGTCTCAGAACGCTTAGGGACTTTAAACTCTCTTTTTGTTTGTTTTTGTTTGTAATAGCACTAGGAATCATAGTGCTTGTACTAGGTACTCTGGTTTCTGAATGCAGCAAGTAGATTTTAAATGATCTCATCCCTGTGGGATTGTGCACTGTAATACATGTGTATGCATAAATATTTAATTATGCAATTTTTACTGTGGACATTTCTGTGCTGTTAACTGTAAATGTGTTGTAAAATACCTGTTCCTGAGTAGGTCTGTGGCCACTGATCTGGGCCCAGGTAATTTGAAAGTAATTCGGAGATGTTTGTAAGGATTTCATGCCTGCATATTATTCACAAATAAAATGGAAGCCTGAAATTTGTGTGTGTGTATATATTGCAAGTATGATTTATTAAGTTAAAGGACTTTAAATGAGAAAGTCTTTCTTAATAAGTTATGTTTAAATTATAATCTTAAATTAAGATCTGATATGATTGAATCTGATATGTATTGTCCTATTTGTAACAGTATTTAATAAAATGTTATAAACATAATGCTCCCTTTTTGGAAACATACATCATTTAAATTATTTTGGTCAGTCCTGTGGGATATGGCTTCAGCAGTAGAATATGAGGGGTTGGGGGAAGACTGGCTAAACAGCAAGCCTGTTCCTTATTTAGCTTTCCATGTTTTCATAGCAGTCAAGGAAAGAGTAGCCAGCAGATGGCACTGACTGCCTGGGAGCTAGCACAGCCAGAGCTGGGACCCCAGACCAGCATCCCCAGTCCTGGAAGGAAGGAGAAGGGCTCAGTGATGTGTCCTGTAAAGCAGGTGCCTGGACCAGCAGTGGGCTTTGTGAGAGGTATGCTCAGGAGGGAGAGGAGAGCAGAAAGAGAAGCAAGTAGATGATCTTAGTACATAGTTAACAGCACAAACCCCTCAGCCCATGCAGGTCTTTTGCAGCCCTTTCTGCTGGGAGACCATGAGCTAACAGGTGAAAGCATAGCTCTGGGGGGTTGCTGATGACTGCTGTCTAGGGACCCCCACTCCCACCCTGGCTTGGGTTGTAGCCAAAGACTCTGCCATGGGCTAGTGCTAGCCAGGTGCCAACGATGGCCAGACATTCTTGTGGCCACCCTTCCCTGATCCCTGACATAGCCAAGGAAACTAAACTGCACTGTGGCTCTCCATAGCTAGCCATCGGGCCTGTGAGCAAGGGAGTCAAATATGAGGTGCTGTGCCAGAGTGGACAGGGCCCATTGTTGTTTATCCCAAACCGATTAATGAACTGAGAGCGGCTGTCAGTACTTCCCCCGCCTTGACAAGGTGGGGCCCAAGCGTGTGAGCAGATGTAGAGCAGTAATCCTTCAGGTTCCCTGAGGGGACGTAGAGATTAGCCCGAAACGCCCTGCTCTGAATCCCTGCAGGAGCTGTTTTGAGAGCTAAACCACCACATGGGTCCCCCAGCCTGTCCTTGTTGTTGTCCTCTACATGCATGGCCCTGTAGCATCCTCTGGAGAGAGCTGCTCAGGCCAGCATGGCTCCTATCCTGCTGCAGTCAGGGCAGTCCAGCTTCTCCTTTCCCAGTAGCTGACCAGAGCTGGTGCTTCTAGCTGCTTTCCCTGGGATCTTACAGGGGCTTTATTGCCAGAAAAAACACTGTAAAATTATCTTCTCTTTCTCCAAACCTTCATCCCTTGTGACTTCCAGAGGCAGCATGAATGAGACCACATTTGAGTGGTATTAGTCCTCTATCTGTCCTGTATATCCCCCAGGCCAGACAGACTTCCCTGAAGGGCATCACCTTCCTTCCAGTGACTGACAGGATACACCTATCCTCATAATTAATGCCAGTCCAAGGCACAGGCAAAGCACACAGGCCTGTGCTTGTCCAGGTCGCTTGATTCTTGATCTTTTCCTGTCAATGTTTTTTCCTGCTTCAGGGTATGTATTGCCAGTTATGATGGCATGGCGTGTCCCGGCCTTTAGGATCTTTGGGAAGTCATTTTATTTGCAGTGGATGTGTCTCTGTCATGTGCCTGTGAACACGGGTCTTTTGTTGTTTGTCATCTGTATAGTTCCCGTGCTAGCGAGAATGGCCATGGGAACGCTTGCTGCCAGGCAGTTGTTTAGTAACTCCATTGTAATGCTCCTCTATATGGTGCAGTGCTGTGCAACCACTGAAGGGCCACAGGGTCTTTGCTGGAGGGACTTTCCTTATTTCCTTTGTCCCATTTCCCTTAAATTCCTTAGCTTTCCCTGGGCCTGTGGCATTGTTCAGAATGGGATCTGTGTTTTGCCTGGCATCTTATTTTGGAGTGGATGTCTGCTTGTGCCGTGACCTATGGGAGCTGTGAAGGTGACATTAACTGGGAGGCACGCATGTCCTTTCACAGCTCTGCGTGTTTGCTGCTTGGCAAGGGGATGGTTTTTGTGGCGTAACTTAACACATTCCTGATGAACTGAGCTACCCGGGTGGCGTTAGCTTTTTACATCTGCAGTCCAACAGAAGGGAACTTAGAAACAAAATTGCACGTAAAGTCTCAGACAGACAGGTAGTGTTTGATTTTGAGTAGGTGTCTCTGGCCCTTGATGATACGGACAGTATAAGCCCTGCCCAGATTGGGCTTGTGCCTTCTGTTTTCATAAGCAATTAGCCATCAAACAAACAGTCATTTACTAGGGCCTGGCTGAAGTTGCCTTCCAGAGCTGCAGTTTTCAAGGGCTGGACAGGACCCAGCATTTGGCCAGCAGTTCTTCACTCACAAAGATAGGTCACTGCTACAGGTTCTGGAGACTGCACATCTTTGCAGCTCCTTGCGTGCTTTGCTGAGGACTGGCAGTGGGGGCTTTGAAGCAGCAGCTCCCGCAGGAGTCGGTGTCGTGATCAAATCACTAACCTGCTCAGCTCCTGCCCTGGGAGCTGTCAAGAGGGTATTAGGGCCAGGAGGCCAGACTGCAACATACTCAAGCCTCTGTGAACCTGGTTTCTGTCCTGAGTCTTGTTCCCATTTTAATTCCTCTGGTTCTTGCAGGGGGTGACTCCTGCCTCCTAGCTTGAGCATGCTGCTAATGTGTGGCTGGTGGTGAGTATTTGGTGAGGGTCTTCAGCCCATAGTCCTGGAGGAAAAAGTTGCCATGGTGAGCTCTTGGTCAGGGACAGAGAAGACCACAAGATTGCTGTTCCCTGAGAGCTGTACCTCACATCAAATGAGAAATACAGCATGGGCTTGCCCACAGGAAGGCAGGCAGGCCATCCTCCTGTTGGTATTGGGCAGCAGAAGCTTGGTGGAGGGCAGAAAGCAGGCATCTACAGCCCAGTCTGTCATAGCACTTGCACAGTTTTGGAGCCTTCCTAGCCTGGTTTACTGCCTTTCATGCACGCCTTTAGGGAGAAGCAAGCAAAATTGTGGGTCAGATTTGGCCAGTGGCGTCAAAACTAGCTGGATGGTTATTGCTACTCACCTGGCACTATTAAATCTCACCTAGAAGGGAGGCAGACATGGTCAACACAGTTCAGCTGTGGCTCCAGTGGTGAGAAAGAAATCCACAGCCCAGAAAGTGTTTCCACAGCTGATGATGGCCAATGCTTTTTCCAGCTCAGGAAAGCTGCTGCCAAGAACAGGACAGCGTGCAAAAAGCACAAATGCCTCCTCAGCAAGGCAGCAGATGCCCCCGGGCAGCTGCCAGCAGGTTTTCTACCTGCCTTCCCACTTCAGGGAAGGACATTCCCTGAAAAGCCCAACAGTTGCTTTGACTTTCAGCCTGGGCCAAGTGGGACCTTCATCAACTTCTCGCCTCACCAGCTGCCACGAGAGCAGTGATGGCAGGTGTGAAATTGCAGGTGACTTGCTTGCTTCTGGCACTCCAGTGCTGTCATTTTGGGCTTTTGACAGCCTCTGAGTGGGCAGAAGGAGGGCATTGCACTGAATCCATGCCTTCTGGAGCAGGCCTTGGGTCATGGAGCACTTGGGTGGAAGGAATAGGGTTAAAGAGGAGGCAGGAAATAACTTTGTTCAGGGCTTATTCCACAGGATGATTTCTGGGAAAGGAGAGGCGGCAATCAGGCAGGATGTATTCACTTTGGGATCTTGGGAAATCAAGCCCAGGCTGGCCTAAACCAAGAGGAAAATATAGCGCAGCCCACACTGCACGGAACAGTGACGTCCCTGCTTCACCTTATCTTGTGTCAGTGCAAACAATCCAGATAACATAAAACCAGACATGGTGAAATGCTGGCATCACATGAACAGCCAAGATGTCCTATGGGGAAATGATACCGTTTGAGCAGAAAGACAGTGGGGGTAGTCCTAGAAAGCCCTATCCTAAGATAAATAGCAAGGGCCCTCTCCAGTCCTCACTGTGTTTCCTCCTCCTCCCTTGCCTCAGCTGGTACCAGGGACCCCAGGTTGGTCCCTGGGTGGAGAGCAGGGGATGCTGTCTGTGTCACAGGGCTGTTCCCAGACTGGAGTCTCATCTGGATGTCCCTCGAAAGCTACAGAGGGAAGCTCTGCAGATGAGTTAGGAACTATTGGGT